GTAATAAGCTTTATCAAATTATGCATATTCATCTTAATGATAAACACGCTTGACTAATTTAAAATATTTTCCGCTAAGTAAATTTTGTTTCCCGACACTTTTTGACCCATTGATTAAGGCGCTTGAGAACACCCTAAATAAGGTGTTTAGACTAAATTTAGTGACTCTATTCAAGGCCCAATTGCAACAAATTAGCCCATACGCACTATTAAAGTTTTATTTAAAATCATATTATTTACAATAATACATATGGTGACAATTAATTAATTTCTAATTTAGAAATCTATTACATATTTACATTGCTTAAATACTGTACAATGTATCTATAGCTTTATACTTCAATTAAATTATGCTACATAACCGAAAGAGATTCTATAAAAGTATACGATATTTCAACCGTGGTACACACATTTAATGTTTCTTGGCGCTGCTAAAATCTGTGCAATTTAGTAATCGGTAAATTATACACTGTTTTGTCAGGTTTTGTCTTTTATCATTTTATAAAAATTATTTCATCTGATATTACTAGCTACGATAAATTTTCTTAAAGTATCAAAGGCGATTTTAAACATGATTTGTTCAAGTAATACATATCACTATTACTAATCGGGTGATCCCTAATAATGTGGCATTAATTCTTTTTATTTTTTTATTAATACTTTAAGCAAAGATAACTCAACGTCCACATATTAAATTCAATAAAAATTTTTTCATTTGAACTCTGTAATTATGTAAAACTAAAATTAATCAAAAATTATTGAACTACTACAAAATATCTTTGTATAAATCTTTAAAAATTTAACATTAATCAAAATACCAAGTTATGCCAAAATTTTCCAAATTTTAAACAAAGATATCACAATAATCACCTAACCGAATTCTATAAGAAATGTTTCATTTAAATTCTACAATAATATAGATGAAAATAAAAGTTTTATCAAACTTATCTGTTGTCAAGATATCTTCAAAAATTTTGCAAAGGTTTAATGTTTATCAAAATAAAGTTATTGCAGTTTTTCTAAACATTAAGTAAAGATATCTCAACAACCACAATTAAATTTAATAAAATATTTTTTATTCGAATTCTATTATTATAAAAAAATCTTTATCAAATCTAATGTTGAAATTGTTAAGATATCTTTTAAGTTTGACTATTTCAATTTTTGTCCAGTCGGTAACATAAATATCGCTGTCCAAGTAATTTTTATAATTCCTATCCTACAGAAAATAATGGGAAATATTTATCTATCGTTGTACGTATCAAACGTACGTATGCCAGATTTATGTTACATCTAATCAAATGATCTTAGCTTGTCACATATAAGTGCGGATTTAGTTTTTATAGTGATTACACAAGCATTGTACGTATGTTTATTAGTAAAAATACACTGTCCTACGTTACAATTAAATGGTCAGCCCTGGTATTTTTGACGGCCTTGTTTTCCTTATTAGAAATCATACACATTGTTTTATTATATTTTTAGTTAGCTCGGAATCAAAAATGTAAACCCGATTATTTGCCAGAAAATATGAACTAATCGGATAACTTTATGGCAAAAAAAATTTATATTTCATTTAATTTTGTACTAATATACGATATTACGATATTACATAACTTATAATTTATGTTTCACTTAATTTTCTATATAATTTTTTTGTTTTAATTTTATATTTAATTTGTATTATAACAAATATTTTATAGATATATCTTTTGCATTGTAATATACTTCTAGATAAACACAATTCATAAATATTTACCAACTTGTTTAAATTACAATAGTTTTTTTAATTAAACTGTGCGGTAACATTGTCGGACTTTATGGACATGTGTTACTTCAAACATATTTGTCTAAGTCTTAATTTATTTGGCTTAATCCAGACTCAATACCTGGCTCGTTCTGTCGTATTACATTTGGTCTCCATAAAACTGTTCATATACTTTTTGATAAGAGACGATGTTGTATCACATATATGCATTTTTAAAATATCTCAATAAGAATCCAAGCTACATACGAAATCTAAAACGATCTGTATTTAAAAATATGAAATTAAAACGTTTTTTTAATAATAAATTCGACAAAGATATTTTTGCTCAAAGTTTGGGAGATCAATATTTTTGAATTTTGAGCTAAGGTGTTTACGAATCTCAATACTTGAGGGCATTTTCAAGTTCTAGTAGTCTCTTGTGCCTTTTCGGAGGAAAAATTACCGCCAATATGCATATGTTGTACGACGCAAGTTTTTATTAGCTGTAATTTTAATATTACATAACGATAATAACTCCGAGTTAAATAAACTCCGATTCAAAAGATTTACACTGGTGGGCTTTTAAAATCTGTATATCGCTATAATCTACATACCTTCATATGGAGAATTTAACATAATAGATTATGACTGACTGCCAGTAAATAAAAGCTTTAATCGAAATGATTGAAGAGACTTAGATTAAAAAATTGCATGGAACCAAACTTAATTTTCTCAACGCAACATCATGCAGCTGATATGTCTCATGCACAACAAAAAAGTACACAGCATTTTGGTGAGGGAGGGTCTTCACAAAATTAATCTCCAAAACAAGGCAAAATTTGGTACATATGCACTAAACAAAAATAACATGATTGACGTATTGTAACACCATCTGTTTCATTTTTTTTTTTAACCATCTAATCTAAACCTTTAAAGTTTTTCCTTAATGGTTAATTAATTCTATTACTGATACAATCGTTGTACTAAAGTCTTTTCATTGTTATAATGATGTTTATAATTAGTAGGATATTAACATTAATGAAGAAGTTAAAATTTATTTAATGGTATATCCCAGTTATTTCATACATGGTAATGCAGTTATTTCCTTTGTAGTCGGTACAACTATTTTTCCGCAAGGTCTATCAAACTACAGATATAAAAAAACAACTAAATTAACCTAAATACGTAACAATATTAATGAAATGTTTCCTAGATATTCGTTTACGTTATTTGCTTTTTGGAATGTCTTCATAATTCTTACATTTTTCATAAATCCATCTTTTGAATATGCGGATCCGATTAAATCCATTATACGTGACAAATCCTTAGATAGGAGGAATGTTCCCAAGAAAATACTTGCTACTTCTTTGACTGGTGGTTAGTTACTTTTGGGTATTTTTATTATAATTATTTATGATCTTATGATTAAATTCATAAAATATCTTTTATTCACAATAGGAAGTCATCTTCCCCCAATGCTTGAAATATGCAAGATTTTAATGGATCGAGGATATAATGTAATGATCTCATTATTCTACTTCATTCTACTTCATTCTACTTCATTCTATTCATTCTACTTCATTCTATTCATTCTACTTCATTCTATTCATTCTACTTCATTCTACTTCATTCTACTTCATTCTACTTCATTCTACTTCATTCTACTTAATTTTTACTTATAATTTCCGCACAATTTTTCTTACTTTTTTTTATTTTATTTTTGACGAATAGTAAAAGAACTGCTCAAATATTGACTGCAATGTTTATTTCAATTGATTCTAATAAATGAGCACCATTATGATCACTAATTAATCACATCGAAGATGATGCTTGAGAAAATTTCAATTACGTTATAAATTGCATATTCGAATTCTCAATAAAAATTTTATGTAAATATAATTTTGTTTGAGTACTATTGTGATCACTTGCTAATCACATTGAGAATGACGCTTGAGAGCACCCTATACCAGTCTGATGTTTTAGTTAAATTTTAGTTATGATTTATTATTGTTAGCATTAAAATCAGGGGTACCGAAAATTGAATTGCAATTAAATTATTACACAATTATATATATATATATATTTTTTTGTATTAAACCCCTCCCAAGGGGATGCTGAAAGGTGTATTTTATTTAGTTCTACTATGTACATATTATTACATAATTAATTAATTATATATCTACCTACTATTAATTAAAATTGTG